TTAATGAATACTAATTGACGAAAATCAAACTTCGTGGATACTAATTGAAGAAAATCAAACTTCGTGGGTACTAATTGATATCAAAACCTTTATGAATACTAATTGAAGAAAATCAAACATCGTGGGTACTAATTGATATCAAAACCTTCATGAATACTAATTGAAGAAAATCACATTTCGTGGGTACTAATTGATATCAAAACCTTCATGAATACTAATTGAAGAAAATCAAACTTCGTGGATACTAATTGAAGAAAATCACATTTCGTGGATACAAATTTATATCAAAACCCTTAATGAATACTAATTGAAGAAAATCAAACTTCGTGGATACTAATTGATATAAAAATCTTCATGAATACTAATTGAAGAAAATCAAACTTCGTGGGTACTAATTGATATCAAAACCTTCATGAATACTAATTGAAGAAAATCAAACTTCGTGGATACTAATTGATATAAAAAAAAAACTTTCATGAATACTAATTGAAGAAAACCAAACTTCGTGGAAACTAATTGATATAAAAACCTTCATGAATACTAATTGAAGAAAATCACATTTCGTGGATACTAATTGATATCAAAACCTTCATGAATACTAATTGAAGAAAATCACATTTCATGGATACTAATTGATATAAAAACATTTATGTATACTAATTGAAGAAAATCAAACTTCGTGGATACTAATTGATATAAAAATCTTCATGAATACTAATTGAAGAAAATCAAACATCGTGGATACTAATTGATTCAAAAATCTTCATGAATACTAATTTAAGAAAATCAAACTTCGTGGAAACTAATTGATATAAAAACCTTCATGACTACTAATTTAAGACAATCAAACTTCGTGGATACTAATTGATATAAAAATCTTCATGAACACTAACTGAAGAAAATAAAACTTCGTGGATACTAATTGATATCAAAAAAAAACTTTCATGAATACTAATTGAAGAAAATCAAACTTCGTGGATACTAATTGATATAAAAATCTTCATGAACACTAATTGAAGAAAATCAAACTTCGTGGATACTAATTGATATAAAAAAAAACTTTCATGAATACTAATTGAAGAAAATCAAACTTCGTGGATACTAATTGATATAAAAACCTTCATGAATACTAATTGAAAAAGAGAATCTGTCATGAAATACTACTTTAAGGGACTGAAAAAAATTATGCAATAGGTTCGCAATTATCGAGGGTTGATTTGGGTCTTGAATATATGTTAATAGTCTTTAGAAGTACTACAAATGTACAAAAATCGCACAATTCCTTTCAACTTTTTTCCAGTCTTTTTAACTTTCTAACGCGGATAATTCTTAACACGTGAATTTGAAGGCGAGCTGTGAACACTATTTCTGGTTAGCTTAGCTAAAGAATTTCCGAGACTAAGGTACGATTGGCCAAACGGATGGCGAACCTGTTCCTTAAAGAGTCATGACGAGATTGTTCTCGGGATTAAATACAACTTACTGCTTTTCCAACCCAAAGGGGGATCAGTAACATGCCATCAAACAGGATTTAGACCTAACCTTCGTTTGTGCCTCTGCATCTTCCCAATAACGAAGTTCGTAAATGCTATTTCTTTCTTGTGAAAGTTTGTAAATTTGATTGGACGCTAGCGAGTACACTAAGGTTCATTAGCTGTTTCTAATGTATTGTCAATAAATTGTTTTGGATTTCAGGTTCCGTTTTCCTGTTCGGATCTAAATTACTTGAGTTGTTTTTATCTATACTCTTCATTTCAGCATAGGATATAATGCAGGAGTGATTACGATCATGGATTGTTCGATGGTTCACTTGGACAATTGTTGTTACCGATTCTATAAAGATGATAACTCCACAGTACCTTGCACTGAAGAAAAATGTCCATAACCGACAAGGAATTAAACAGATAGACATCCACAATAAAAACTTGAAATATTAAATTTTATTGATAAATAGTAATAAATAGCATAATTATACCTTAGGTATTCTGAACATCTAAAATAATAGCCCTACATGCCCATGCAGGTGGATGATCGAGAAGGTTGGGTGGGTTTGTGTAGACCTATGTATATTATAGGCCATATATATAAGTTATTCTATAGCGCAAATGACGTTGTAAAAACAACCACAATCGCCATGCGCTCACTAGCAAATTGTTCGGAACGGTTATTTCTACTGAACGAAAACTTTACTGAACTTAAAACGTTTCTACTAAATCAATAATAGGTGACTTAAATTGAAATGATATAAATGGAGTTTTATGTCCTACTCTTGTGCACTTCTGGAGGCGTTTTCCATGTCAGACCCAAGGAATCAACGTTATTAGCAAGATAGATCTGTAGTCTAATCTCGACAATTCTGAATTGCTGCCAAATTTCAATTTGGTATAAGAATTTGCTCATCAAATTTTTCAATTCAATTGAACCGTGACAAGAATGTGTGTCCACAGTTCACGGTGCTGTATAAAACAGAACAAGCTATGTAGACTCTTGAGAGCATGTATTAAGTTGAAAACCTAGCCACAGAGCGCCATCAGGTGTTACCATAATACATAATGAAAGAAAGACACACGTTAGGGCTACATTTCCCTTTAAACGAGTCGCGAAATATTACTAATTTACAAAAAAGTAAGTATTTTATTTCTAATCTGTCATTTTCAATATATTTCAAGTTTCAAATTATTTTATATTAAAATATTTTCAAATCAAGTTTGACAATTGTGTCTTAAAGTAAAGGTATGTGTCTATATTGGAAAATAGTTAATTTGGATTCTGAAACATGTAATCATCTAGTGAAACAAATCAACCACAGGGTTAATGATTAAAAGAATTGTAAAGCGGTTTTTCTGGACTTTTTATGTGTATCGGGTACACCTTGGACTTCTATTTGGGACATTCCAATCTTTCGCCCAATGCCTGTGATTCCTGCAATTCCAGAAAATGACCAAGCTCTTGCAAGAGAATTCGTAACCATTATACCACCAGATCACAATAACATAATAATATTGTCTCCCCTTACAAGATGGTGGCATTTGGAAGGTCCAAAATAGAAGTTCCCGATACACATAAAGGGGCTAAAAAACGTCTTAATGCCTTTTACTATTTGAGATAGAACTGTCGACTAAGTTTAAACGGGACTAGTCCGGCTTGGCTACTTATATAATCTGTTAGCAAATATATCTACAATTTCGAAGTCATTACAATTTTTTTAATAGTTTTGTCTCCACGGTAATCTTATAAGTTTACTACTACATTTCCGTTCTTATGATGATATTAACCAATTAAAGTGTGTCATGTGCAGTCTACAAAACGAATTGTGGGATAGCAAAACCAAAAATAGAGCATATGGTAGCTCGATCGAAGGTAAGGCTCAGAATCCTTACTATTATTGTCAAGAAACGGTTGATAAATGACATGCTTTGATTGGCTAATATAACTTCAACAGTAAGGGACGGTGGTAGAGAACGTGTTAGATTACAATGGAGACGTAAATATCAGTCTGAAAGGAACGAAATTGTAATGTTATTTGAATTAGAATGCCTCCATAACCACTTCCAACTTTTAATAGAAAGTCGTCTAACTGTGACTTTAATGTTCAATTGTTTTTTTTAGATATCTGGAAAGTTTATTACTCAATATAGATTTATATTAATGCATTTTGCACAAAAAATTACAATCCACAAGTCAAGTCCATATGCTACTGAAGCATTGAAAAACATATATATATGATATAGATTGGTGGAAAACACTTCTAACACCGATTAAAAGCTGAACTAGTTTAATATCACAAATGTGAGTATATGTATACTGTATATCATTTTATCACAAACATTCCTGAGGCTCATTTTGAGGGGTTGATTTGAGTCTTGAATATTTGTAAAGTCTTCAGAAGTACTAGAAAGGATACGGAAATCGCATAATTCCTTCAAAAATATCTCAAACTAGCAATTTCTTTTCCCCAATTCTATAGATGTATTTTGCAGTGTCTCAAGAAAAACTCCTCTTTTTAACTTTCGAACAATTCTGGACACATGAATTTGAAAGAACAAATTTCGACGGTGAGCTTTTAAAACTATTACTGATTGGCTTAGATAAAAAAAAAACATTTCCGAGACTAAGGCACGATTGGTAAAAACGAATGTCGCATCAGTCCCTTTTAAACTAAACTAAATACCTTTTTTCCGATTTTGAAATTTTTCAACATTTCTTAGGAAATCCTTATTCTTTTTATGGACGTTGGATCAACATTGTGAATCCTCAAAAACTTATTTTTTAATTTCAGTTCAAAATGCTGAAATTAATAGTTACCGCTCTTATTCTGACCATGGTCTTTTTCCAAGCTGATGGTGCCGCATTCATATTTGATATGAAAAGAGAAATAAATGGTATGTTATTTCTTCAATTAATAAATAAATGACAGATGGGTGGAGCTTCAGCCATGCAATAACATCAAAATGAAAATGTTGTAGCTTACCTAAGCCCCACCTACTTTCTTTGTTAAGTTATCCAGGTATGGTACTACAACAAATTGCTGATACTAGACCATAATTTTCTTCGAACTTACATTTTTAAGCAAATTATTTCTTAACAAACATCAAAGGAGAAATTTATATTACAATTAGGATGGGGCATACTTCGTAAATAACGGCGCTTCTCTATTTATCAATGATTGGTAATTTTGGTTGTGCGGTTCTATAGCACAGTCGGTTAGATCGTTGTTTCTTAACATGACCATTTGCTGGACGTAACCAAGAAAATGACGGCTGTGGGTTGAATTCTCGATCCGCGTGTGATAATCTGATGGCCTTAATGAAGTCATCTTCACTCATAATTCCAGTCGACCCAGCTGTAAATGGATCATTAACTGTGAAGTTGTTATCCTTGTGAAATACAGTTGTTATTTCTTTCTGTATTCTGAATATTGTTACAATAACATTTTTCCTTATCTCATTCAGATGACGGTCAGATTATCAATTATTGTGAATTTGAAGGAGAGAGACATGAATATGGGGAAACGTGGATTAAGGATTGTGTGAAATGTGATTGTATTGGAAGATACATGGACTGCTCTACGTGAGTAGGGCCTACTTGATCCAGTCCCGTAATCAGACGGGGCATGTAATACATTCGAAAGGGCAATGCGGTATAGTATTTAGTTGCAGTAATGGAATAAGTCGGTTGTCAGTCCTTCAGTCAGGTGAAAAAAAAGGGGGGGGGGGGGGGATTCACTGATTGATATAATATATATATTTTAATTGATATAAAAAACCTTTATGATTGCTAATTGAAGAAAATCAAACTTCGTGGATTCTAATTGAAAAAAGGGAATCAGTCATGAAATACTACTTGGTGGGACTAAAAAAGATTATGCAATAGGTTCGCTATTATCGAGGGTTGATTTGGGTCTTGAATATATATCAATAATCTTCAGAAGTACTACAAATATACAAAAATCGCACAATTCTTTTCAAAATATCTAAACTAAGAATTTCACTTTCTATTTCTAAATAACATATATTTCCTGTACATGACAGAGTCTCAAGAAAAGAAGAGTCGTCTTTTTAACTTTCTAACGCGGATAATTCTGAACACGTGAATTTGAAGGCGAGCTGTGAACACTATTTCTGACTAGCTTAGCTAAAGAATATCTGAGACTAAGGTACGATTGGCCAAACGGATGGCGAACCTGTTCCTTAAAGAGTCATGATGAGATTGTTCTCGGGTTAAAATTCAACTTATTTCTTTTCCAATCCAAAGGGGGATCAGTAACATGCCATCAAACAGGATTTAGACCTAACCTTAGTTTGTGCCTCTGCATCTTCACAATAACGAAGTTCGTAAATGCTATTTCTTTCTTGTAAATGAAGCGCTTTGATTGGACGCTAACAAGTACAGCCAATCAGAGGCCTCGACAGTAAATACAAAGTTCGAAAGAGTTTGACATTGTTAAGATAGTCCCTCTGGCTCAATCAATCTTTGCACCACGCGATTGAAAAAGCTTTTAAAAAGTGTATCCGATTCACAAACCTCTAAAGAACCCCGTCAACTGTTAATGATCTGCATGCTTACGTTTGTGAGGGTTTGGCATTTGTTGCAACCAAAAAATAAAAGTTTGGTCTAGCATATAGATTTCACATTTGTACCATGAACAGTTCACTAACTGTTACCAATGTATTGTCAATAAATTGTTTTGGATTTCAGGTTCCGTTTTGCGGTTCGGATCTAAATTACTTGAGTTGTGTTTATTTATACTCCAAATTCTACTCTTCATTTCAGCATGGGATATTATTTAGCATCGCCTACGTTCGAGAATTGTTCGATAGTTCACTTGGACAATTGTTGTTACCAATACTATAAAGATGATGACCCCACAGTACCTTGCACTGAAGAAATATGTCATTAACCGACAAGGAATTAAACAGGTGGACATCTACAATAAAAACTTGAAATAATAAATTTTATTGATAGTAATAAATAGCATATAGCATATATCCTTAGGTATTCTGAACACCTAAAATAATAGCCCTACATGCCCAAATGCCCCCAACCCCATGTAGATGGATGATCGAGAAGGTTGAGTGGGTTTGTGTTGGCCTGTAGACCTATGTATAATAATAGACCATATATAAGTTATTCTATAGCGCAAATGACGTTGTAAAAACAACCACAATCACCATGCAAATCGTTCGGAAAGGTTATTTCTACTGACCGAAAACTTTACTGAACTTAAAACGGTTGTTCTAAATCAATAATAGGTGACTTAAATTGAAATGATATAAATGGAGTTTTATGTCCTACTTTTGTGCACTTCTGGGGGCGCCCCGCATCCGACGTCCATCACTGACAAAGAGCAAGGGTTAAAAATCCGTATGTGTAATCTCGATCCATGCAGGGATTGAACCCTGGACCTTCGGGTTAGCTAGCAAAGGTCTATGTTATTGAGCCACCTCAGCGCCCTACTGCATTTGACGGCGTTTTCTGAAAACTGTTGATTAAAACGGACAATTCATTAGCATATTTCAACGACCAATGGTGCCGCATAAAAAAGAAATTTAAAACGTAGGCCTCGATCGTGATAATACATAAAGTCGACCGGAATAGAACCCTTGTAATTTTGTAGAGTTAATAACACAGGTATAATTAACCTTCAATGTTCGTTTTTTTTGTGTGAAATATCTGGAATGTTTATTGCTCGTTATAGATTGATATTAATAAGTATTTGAACGATGAAATAAAAACAGTATTTATTTTAAATCCATATGCTACCGAAGCTATGGTATAAATTTCCGCAACACATTGATCGATTACGAGTTGGGCTGTTTATCTAACACAAACGTGAGCATCTGTTTCGGTTTATTCTATTAGACATTCCCTGGACCAGTTTCACGAAATTCTATTTCAAAGATGAATTATTGTATTGTTCATACAAAACAACGTATAGCTGATACAAGTAGCTGTATTTCTCAAACTCTGGATTTTTTTTTAGTTAACATTGTATGAACAGGCCCCGACTGACCGAGAGGGGCTACCTTATGCTACTATTCCACATAAAGCACGAATCGTCAGGATTTGTAATTTTAGGATTTGTGCGGATTCATGGAATTTCAGCACATATTGTGCTTTGCGAGGGTCTACGATATTCCAAACTTTCAGATACTTAAGGTACACATTTCTGTAGATTTTGGTGTATAGTTTTCATTAGACCTACGAACAAAAACCCCTATAAGTGTTACAATAATTTTTGTTTCAGTTCAAAATGCTGAAATTGCTAATTACGACTTTTATTCTATCCGTGGTCTTTTACAAAGCAAATGGTTTTACATCATTAGACTACGTAACATTAGAAATGAACGGTAAGTCCCCTCTTCAATTTATATAATCTCATTGAAATTAGATTGCATTTTCGTTTTGTTATTTTTTTTTCTGCTGTTTCCATTGTAATCTAGAAAGATTTATACTTAGATCGCGTACTGTTGACGTTCATTTCAACGAATCGTAGTGCGCCATGCAGAATCTGCGTGTAAATATTCACTATGATCAGATTTGACACTGACAAATACGACTGTGACAATTTTAGAATTAGACCCTATCCGTTATCGGACGTGATATAAGGGCAAACCCATCTTCACAAGGCATTGACAGAGAGTCTGCGAACACAAAGTCATAGTTCGTAATAGCTTAAAATTGTGAAGATGGGTAAAACCAAACCCCTGGGGACATTGTAGAATACGCGGTAAAGTCTTGATGGATTCATTAACGGTTCAGCTTTGTTTCGATACGGAAAAATATATAATTCAACTGTGTTATGCAAATATTCATGGCTTTGACTATTTATCCAACCTTATTCATATATATGAATGTCATTTTCGTCGCATGCATGAACTACTAATAATTAATGAAAAAAAACTTCCTGAATACTAATAAATGAAAACAAAAACCTTCAAGACTTCATGAATATTAATTAATGGAAACAAAACCTTCACAACTTCATGAATATTAATTAATGGAAACAAAACCTTCACAACTTCCTGAATACTAATCAATGAAAACAAAACCTTCATGAATACTAATTGAAGAAAATCAAACTTTGTGGATACTAATTGATATAAAAATCTTCATGAATACTAATTGAAGAAAATCAATATTCATGAATACTAATTAACGGAAAATAAACCTTCGTGGATATTTATTGAAAAAAGAAAATAAATCATGGAAAACTTCTTAATTGGAGAAAAAACTTGCAATAGGTTGGCTATTATCGAGGGTTGATTTGGGTGTTTATCAAGTTTTATGAAGAGGCTGTATTAAAAATTTAAGTTAAAAAAACCGAACGAATGATTGGTCTAATTTGAACTGGATTGATTATTTTGCATGTTTCAGATGACGGTGAGATTGTGAAGTATTGTGAATATGAGAACGTGAGATATGACCCAGGAGACTCGTGGACAAATTACATTAATTGCGTACAATGTAACTGTGGTGAAACCTACATGGGCTGCAATGGGTGGGTATTTTCCGATATTTGTCGTCTTCATTGTAATCTAACAAGTTTTCTACCGCAGTCGCGTTCGCATAACGCCGTTTTAAACGCGTGTCATGTAGGTTTAGAATGACGAATCTTGTATCTGACGCATAAAAAAGAATCTATTCAACATTATGATGATGCAAAATGATGAAATAATAATAACTCGTTGCACTCATCTCTACGTTAAAAGTGTGGAATTCTAATTCCTTTCACATTTTGAATTCTACTTCTCATTTCAGTATAGGCTATAATACAGGAGTTTTTTCGATCACGAATTGTTCGATGACTAGATTGGACAATTGCTGTTACCGATTCTATAATGATGATGACCCCACAGTACCTTGCACTGAAGAACTATGCCCATAACCATTCGGGAATTTAATAATGTGCAAATCCCCAAAAAATCCTTGTAATAAAACGTATATATGCATACTCTTAAATATTCTGAAGTCTTAAAATAATAGCCCTAAATTCTAAAGTGACACTACCAACGCCTCACCCCAGCTTGGGGTGAGCACCTGCAAAGGCTACAAGTCTGGTAGGTGGGTTATGTTCAATTTCTGTGTGATGATCAGAGCATATTTCACACCATAAAACCTTGGCGGCATCAGCTTCTGGAGACTGGGGTGCAAATAGAGGGCATACTGATTAAATGGGGGACAACTTTCGAGGTTGAGATTTAAAATGCTGCTCTGTGAAAGCGCTTAGTCGTAACCTCCTGTGGAACGTCTAAGAGGGTTGCCCCTGGAGAAAGTCTTTGAAAATTTGTTAGATATTAAGTGGGGATACAACTGGGGGTATAAATCATTTTTCAAGACCCCACTGGTGCTGTCACTGCCATTGCCGAAGAACAGAACCACCAACAAGAAACCAGGTTGGATTATCAAAAGTATCTTCTATGACTTGCACTAAATATTTCCCTTGGAAAAGCTACATTTAATATCATCCAAATAACAACAACATAACATACTATAGGCCTACAGACAATATATATAAACCCATAAGTTATTCTACAAATGTTGTAAAAATAAATTCAAACCATCATGCGTTCGTTTAGCAAATCGTACGGAACGGTTGTTTCTAATAACGAGAACGGTTGTTTTTACGAAACAGAAACGGTTGTTTTTACTGAGCGAGAACGGTTATTTTTACTAAACAGAAACGGTTGTTTTTACTGAGCGAGAACGGTTGTTTTTATTGAACAGAAACGATTTTTTTACTGAACGAGAAGAGTTGTTTTTAATAAACAGAAACGGTTGTTTTACTGAGCGATGGCCGTATCTTATTTAAGGTAAGATAGGGATAGCCATACATTGCTAGTGCGCAGCGTCTTTGTTAGGTTTCGGGAAGGATTTGATTCTCCCAAATGTACAGGATGTAACAAATAATTCATTTAGAAAATGGAATAGGTGGTCTGGAACTACTGGGTATTTTTCAACTATTCTGATCTGAAATTAGATAAAATAATAACTTACCTAATGGCCGATAAATGGTTGCAGACAAATTCTTCTTTACCGACAGCAAGGTCTTGCAGCATCGCTGGCAAAAGTGCACTGAAAAAAGATTGGAAAAAAGTTGAAAATATAAGAAACACGTACACTTAACTGAAATGTAAAACTGAATATTTTGAGAAAATTGACTGCAAAATAAATTTAATTAAAAACTTTGGCTCTAAGGATTGAGGGAATCTTCTCAACTCTTATGTGAAAAGGCAAGGACAGTCCAAAAACGATATACCCCTCTTACTTCATAATGGTGTCCCATCCTTTACTCCAAAGGACAAGGAAAATTGCTTGAACACAGTAAGACTTTATCAATGCACAAACCCTGCTTGAACACAATCCCAACCCTCTTAACCACACCATAGGCCTAGTAACACCTCATAAAGTTAGAGACATTCTTCAAAATTTATATACCGGTACGTCAAAAACAATTGGTCCGGATGAAATAAATAGTATATTCATTAAAGCTTGGGCTAATGAAATGGCAATACCTTTATGCAACCAAATTTCCTAATAAACAAACTTAACTTTTTGTTAAAGGTTTTGTACAAGGTTTCAAGATTAAGTCTATGCCAAATTTCATTGTCTTTCTATTCTTGTATGAACTCTGTTCTCTATACCATATATGTGTGTATGTTCATCGACATTTACATATATGTATTATATTGTATATTATAATTTATTCTGGTTTATCTATATCTATCAACTTGTTTTGAAATTTTTGTATATAAGGAAAAGGGTCGTGTACATAGTATGATTGTATTCCTTCCTTATTTTACATTGTATTTTTGAATGATGCGTGTTTATTTTATGTATATTGTATGTATAATGTATGTATATTGTATGCTGTCATATATGGTACGTAGATACAATATCATACCAAGATCTTATAGGTGAAAGCCGGTACCCTAACAAATTTCTAATGGATATAATATTGTTTAAAAAAAATACAATAAAAGTGTGTAAAACTGGGTAGCAAATTCAATGAAAACCATCGACTTAATACAGGACTTTCCAAAGTTACTTTTCAACCAGTTCGCGTACTTTTAAAGGGAAGCAATCATCATAACAACTTTAACATTGGTCCGGTTTTTTTTAATTTTTCACGGGAGACAACTCTTTCTCAGAATATCGGTTGTTACTTTTCTCTACACTTTAAAACTTTTTAAATAAAACTTTTAAGGCTCTTATTCGTTTGGGAACAAATTCTTTGGGAAAACTTTCCATCGATTCGACTCTTTAACAATATTATTTCGAAATAATTCCGAAATTTGATAAATTCATGATATTAGACACCAGTTTTGCTGTGTAACAGTTTCTAGGATATACTTTATCAATCTCCATTCAGCTTCGCGAATTTTCTCGAAAATCTTTATTATTCGAGTGCTTCTAGATCAATTTTGTTTATTTTTGGATGAATGGTCGACGTTCATTTTGTGAGAATTGGACTGAATTGTCAAGAGGTAAGCAAATTTCGTTTTCAATTAATATTATCTGAAAATTCAGCTATTTTTTGGAATAAAAATCTGGTTTAAGCAGTCGACATTGTTTGTAAACAACATTTAAGTTACCTTTTTGCACTCGTCATTATGGATGTATTTTTGATATTCTTACTTTTCTGCACTTAGTGTTCAATTATTGATAACTGGGTATTTTGTTGATGATGTAGATGATGAGTGTTTGTTTAAAATTGTTCAGTTTTGTTTTAGGGGAGATAAATGAATATGATATTCTCTCTTTCTGTCTATGATTATGAATTGCATGCTATCTTATTTGTGTTATGGTAGTAAGGGGGCTATGTTTTCGGTTCTGCCTAAAGGATGTGGAAAATTTTACATTTGTTGGCCTTATAGACATACTTCCTGCTATTTCCTCTCAGAAATCTCTCTATCATTAAATTATTTCCTATAATTTTTTCATTGATTGGCACTTTCATTAACCAAAATACAATCTAAGACTCTCAACAGTGGGTGACTATTTTGAAAAAAATACCAGTGATTCCCAACCTTTTTCAACCTTCACACCCCTGAAGCAATCACCTGGACCTTTTACACTCCCAAAAATTTGATTCATCCACATTTTCAGCATTTGATGATGTGAGGTGCTTCTCAAATCAAAATTAATTATTCTCCTACACCAGTTGGCAAAAACCCCTGACACCTTAGTCCCTCAACCCCAGGGGTGTCGGAAACTGAAAATGAAACTTATTAGGATTATTAGAACCTATAGCCCAATTGATTCTGATGGTCTATGACATCTTGAAGTTTCTAAATTAACATTGCCAAATTGTAAGAAATAAGATTACTTGTGCCTTTGTAGACTCTTTGATGTTTCTTATACAAGTAATTTCATTACCAAAGAAAAATTTAGAAGTCTTAATTCATTAAGCTTCCATAAGGTCAATGAGGTGTTGAATAGTAAAATGTAATTTCATTACTGCTTGGTAGGCTATTAAGGTGTAGAACAGATCATGAACTCACAAGTAATTGCCACTGTTTTTTTTTCAGGGATAATAACTGTGACTTAACAGGAGAAGCGAACACCAAAATACCAGTCAATAGTCAGAATGTATGATGTGATAGTGTTAAAAGAAGGCTATTGTCGTCTCGGAGAAGGTTATGATTATTTTTTATCCATCTGAGGCTGAATAAATATTTCCTTGCTTTATTTAACCATTGACTAGGGCTCATCTTGTGTTGTTGACAGTGTTTGGGGTAAACAACCCTTATCAGGACATCATATTGGTACTACAAGAACAATGTCAGAGGCATATTCTGGTTAAAAGAGAATTTGAGGTTTCGATTTTCAACAAAGTCAATTTTGTCATATCAATATTCATGAGAGCTTTTAAGTGGAACTTAATATATTCTGTGAAATCTTAATTTAAATTCTCTTTTAAGGAAATGATTTGTTTGTATGGTATTGTTGGCATCTATGACACAATTGCCAGTGCTTTGAAAGTTGTAATCCAGACAAATAATATTAGGAATACTTTATTGTGTATTGTACAACTGTCTAATACACTTAATGAATATTTTTTTTTTAAGATGGGAAAAGCCAAAACTGTGGTGGCAGTGTAACTTTAATTAAAGGTAAAAAAAATGTATTGGTGGATACTGGTAGCCCTCGAGATAGAGATAGTTTACTGTCAGGTAAGGATGTAGTGTTTCATTTTGCCAAGATATAATACATATTGCATTACAAGTGTTAGGATATGAATTGGTTAGATATGATATGATATTAAAAGTGTTATAATACATATTGTTTTACAAAGGTTAGGATATGAATTGATTAGATATATGATATTAAAGTGTTATGATACATATTGTATTACAAGGGTTTGGATATGATATGAATAAAAAATCTTATGATACATATTGTATTACAAGTGATATTAAAAGTGTTATGATACATATTGCATTACAAGTGATATATGATATTACAAGCGTTATGATACATATTGCATTACAAGTGATATATGATATTACAAGCGTTATGATACATATTGTATTACAAGTGAAATATGATATTACAAGTGATATGATCTGATACATACTAAGATGTAAGGTATATTATATGATATTATACTAGTTCTATATTGCAACATTGCAATGGCTACAAAACATTATGGCTTATTTACATGTAAAGGTACACTTTATCTTCAAAAATGCTTGATTTTTTATTTCACAAGGGTATGCTAGCCATTGATGAAAACAGATTAGACGGAAAGAGGGCCAGAATCTGTCTAAGAGTGCAAATAGATTAGGTGGGATTCCACAGTTGAAGAACTTGGTCCTGATCATGTTGGAACCCTTGTGTATTCGCTTCTTTAATTTTTAACTGTATTGGTATAATTCCAGTATATTCATGATATTATAACTCATAGTTTCTCTGGGTTTTTTTTTCACAGGCTTAAAAGGCAATGGGTTGATACCAGATGACATCCACTATGTAGTGGGAACTCATGGTCACATAGATCATATAGGAAACCTCAACTTATTTCCCAATGCTGTTCAAATTGTATCCAATGATATCTGTCACGGAGAAAATTATTTACTACATGATTTTAAATTGGTAAGTTTTGTACATTAATCTTGGTCAGGGCATCATTGTCTATGAAATATGACTGAAACTATGACATTCTACCATGTTTCACTCTGGTAGGTTAAATCTTGTTTTTGGGACATAAGTTATGAATATTCATGATATCATGTGATTTTCAAAACACAAAAATGCCACTTGTGATTTGATAAGTACAGGCAATTCCTCCTGCATCGACATGTTAAAACTTGACTGCCTTTGGAATTTTTTTCTAATTTTGTAAGTCTGAAAAGTCCATAAGAAGCATTGATGAAGCCCTTTCAAAACTCCACGATCTTTGTGGCCAAGTCATGAAGATTATAAAAGAGTTGTCTCCCTTTTACTTATTGTATGTTGAAATTGGTGGATGGACACATAATGACATTGATACACCATTAGAAGTAGTTCTACTGTTTTTTAGGGTATACCATATGAAATTGATGAACATATCGATGTGATATCTACTCCTGGACACACTGGAAGTGATGTCTCAGTCTTGGTTAAAAAATCACCTTTTGGTACAGTTCTTGTAGCAGGTAAGTTCCAATGTTCCATATTTCATTATATATGCTGCAAACATTTTGTTCCCAGTTCAAAACATGCTCTCTAATTCAAATGTTCGATGTTATGCATCTTTCGTGATCCAAATATTATTTCTCACGATTTGAGTTCACAATTTCTTATACATTTCATCAAACCAGAAGAGGAACATATTGGTTCTCCTTTGGTTTTGCAGTCCAACAACTCTCATTCATTACTTGAGTTTAAGACATTTCATCAAGCAAGCAGAGGAACTAAAATTAGCTTTTTTTGCTTCAGGAGATCTTTTTGAGTGTGCTGAAGATCTAGAAGAACCAGATCTTTGGCAGAGGAACAGTGAGAATGGGGAAGTTCAGGAACAGAGCCGTATCAATGTCCTTAAAGTTGCTGATCATATCGTCCCTGGTCATGGTTCCATGTTCAAAGTCCCTGATGAGTACAAGAGCCACTTCCGATGTGTCATGTACTATGAAGAGATCAACTCGGATCATATGTTCAGTGCTTCATCTAGTATAGAGTATACTGTTGTGGAATGTGATTAGTCAAATCACAATTTCCCAAAAGAAGTTTCTAGATCCTTCGTCCTTCTGGGTAGGGGTTCCAAGATCGATGGGAACTTTTTCAATGGTATACATGTATTTTATATAGTAATAGGATTGTAAAGAACTGAACACAATTTCATATATAAAAAACTATGTTTACTCTCTGTTACCAAGGTACTAATAAGATCAACCAAATAAAAAGTGGTAAACAAGACATAATTAGCCATGTGAACTCTCTGTAAGTATCGAATTGACACAGCAAGTTAGAAGTGGTAAACAGCACCGTATGTGGACTCTTTGTACGAAGTACTAATTCAGTGAAAAGTGGTATCAATAAACATTATTAGTGAGATGAACTCTCTGCAAGAAGTGCCAAGGATCCAAAACCAGTGCTAATGTGGTACCAAGTGCTTGACTATTAATTCAGTTATGTAAAGATCAAAATATAACTGATCATTGCTTGATATGCCAGTATTAATTTTGATGTTCAGATGAAAGGAACTGTTATATGTGAAATTGTCAAAGTTATTTATCATCTACAGTGTTCATATGTAAATAATATAATCAGATTCCAAACTATTAGCATTGCTTTTTATTTTCTTTAACACTCTAGTGTTGATTTTTAGATTCATTATACACACAAAGGCATAGAAAATGTCTATCAGGTACTAATCAAGATCTTGAAATCCTCGTGTAATAGTGGAAATGATTTTTGGACATCCCTCAATCCTGTAGTAAATTCCCCTACACATGCTTTTTTGTGCGATTCATATTTAGCAGTAATTTTTTATATTTTTCTGTCAAGGTGACATTTTTTTCTATTGAATTTGGCAGCTTAGCATATTCCAATGGTTTGAATTTAAATTATATTGCCTAAATAAGGGAAGCTTTTCTTGCTTATCCTATAAATTAATCCACATGGATGGAGGTATTTATCAATACCGGATTCCCATCAAGGTACAGCATTGATTTACCGAAGATAAATGTATATCTGGATCAAGGCTTAGATGTATCACAGACTCAAACATAACTTGATGAATCAAGGAAGTGGATGCATAACATCAAAGTATATTAAAACAAGGCAAATTCAATGCTTTTTATCAATAAGTAACTGAAGACAAAACAGAATACACGACTGAAGTAGTGCTAAATGGAGATCAGGTCCCTTTCAATAAATACGCTTTATCACCTTATAAAATCATCCAATACATCATCACGTTATATATTTGTTGAACAATTGGTGTCTATTTATTATATAAGTGCTTATTTGAAGTGCCGTATATTTACCCTTAACTGTTTGCAATCATATCAAAAAATTGTTTTTGTGAAATATTCAAAATTTAACAATTTGTTCTTGAATGCTCAAAGTAAATTTGGCTTTGTCACCATAATTGTATGACATAGAGAACAAAAAATAGTTAATAGTCTTAATTTGGCCCGAAATGACAATGTCATTGTCAACTGTTTTAGTTGTTAAGTCTTTGGAACATTGCGAAATGCAGAAATCAGGTCGGTCAATATCTCAAAAAAATTTAATTAATTAGTGAAAAATATCAAAGTAAATTTCCCATGTGGATGCTCAAATGTTGTTCATATAATGAATAAAAATTGTTTGAAAATTTGTTGTAGTATTAGTCCATCTTCAACGTTTGCTGCTGTCCTGGCAAATTTTTCCTCGTTGCAGTGTATAGTAGTGCCTTGTGTATCCAATCCATGGATCATAATCCTGGAAAGCTGGAGCTTTTGATATTGCTCATCCTTAATTATATCCTTAAGATATAGCATCTTTACCACCCTGAATTTGTGGAAATTTATGTAGCAAAAAGGAGGATTGCATAATTGTATATCCAAAATTTTTGACATTGCGTCTTGACCATCTAAAATCATTGGCATTACATCATAGCATATTCCAAATTGTTGACATTGCATCTTGACCATGCTAATTTATTGGCATTGCGTCATTATATGTCCTAAAACCAAACCGTTCTTTGAAAATTTACACTTTTAACATTGCACATCGTTTCTGCTACAAAAACACAATAACCTTATTGCATATCCTTCCTTACTTCCGTTACAATATTCGTACATCTTGACTTAAATGACATAACATGACGTATCATATTTAAAAACTGACAAGCACTGCTAGTTATTGATGACCTTGACTCAGCAGTCCACTGTCCTGCAATATAGATGAATCTGCATTCTGCACTTGGTAGCAGCCTTTTCCAAACTCCAACAGGACAGCCAAGTTATCTGGCAATAATATTTGAAGGCCGTCTACACCACTTAGCCCCAGATATCAAACTGTTAAAGTCTTCGTTCGAAAGATGCTATCATCCTTCGTGGAATTCTGGTCACTTGGTAAAAGATTTTCTCTATAAAGTTTTTAAGTTGGTAGTAGTATTTTCTTACTGATCTTCTTATCTGAAAAATGCAAGGGACGTAATTTGAATTTGAGTCTTGTTGGTTGATGACCGTCAATTATAGATTATCGGAAACGATGACAAAAATGACACCCAATTTAATTGTATATATCTTAATATATGATACAACAACAATATACTCGTCGTTCACACGGAACAATAAGCCGAAGCCGCGTACGTTCACGTTAAAACAATCCCTAATTGTGTTAACCCAGGAGTAGAAAATTGGGGGAAGTGTTTTCCTTTAATTTAAACCATTTCTGGCAATGGGGAATGATTGCTATATACCTACTGACTAGAGTTTGGCCGAAACAAATAATAAGTACACAGGTAACATACAACACTCAACAAAGAATTTATTGCAGGGCGTTCGTAAGCGAACGCCTTGCTTTGTTTTCGAAACGATTATTTTTTTTTTCGTCAGCTAGGTAGCTTATTTCTCGGAACAAAAAATAGGTACGACAAAACGGACTTCATGACGTTTTCTAACTCGTGGCTATTCACGTATTAAACGTAAAACGAAAATGTTCTGCGCAACCGGAAGTGAGATTGCAAAAAACCGGAAATGGACTGTAGAGGGCGTATTTATCGTTCGATTTTTCTCGGGTTTCCTTTATTACAGTCGAGTAACCTAATTTCGTGGAAACCTATTATTCGTGGATTTTCGGAAATGATTAATAATTTACATGAGCGACCTCGCGTGACCACCGCATTAGTTTGTTTTAATAAACATGGGTTTTCTCTACAATGTCAGCTAATAGAATGAATTCAGTAATTTCAAGCATGGTAAAATGTATTAATGTATACTTTGACAAATACAAAATGGCGGATTTCACTTATTACCAAAACGTCACCATTTTTTATCGGCCGAATTTCATTATAATCCCAAGCGGTAATCGGAATTCCAAGTGTCGTCTGCTAGAATATAATCCAACGAATGAAGTCACGTGATCAACTAGCGGATTCCGTGTCAGCAGAAAATTTCTATGGAACACAAAGTGGACCATATTCTGATGTTGTTTCAATGACTTTTAGCAATAAATCACGCTACGTGTCTTATTTTGTCAGTCACTATTTTTTTTTTAAATCGTGGTTCTTTCAAGGAATTGTCACTAGTTATAATGAATTGATATTAAAGATAAATACTAAGAGAAGTTAATTATACCACCCGGTATCCATATTGTGTTTTTCTAGACTTATTTATAGATCAAACATTGTACACGAAAATAGGTGACGCATTCTGCCGCCATTCCCGAGTTGGTTGCTCATGAAATATGGGTCAAAGTGAAGGATTCATTAAGAAAATCGAAATAAACCAATTTCTATTATTTTGTAGAATATCTGAGGACACATCTAAGACATAAAAAATTTTTTTCTTTTTTTTTTAACTTTGACGAAATTCGGTGTTAAATCCTTATATCCACGAAAATAGGTTACACCACTGTATAATTCTTAGTACAAAGGACATATGATAGCAGTTGAAAATATTCGATTTTCCAAAATTCGTTCGATACTTTTTTTTGTCGAAATTAATCGAAAAATGCTATTTCGGTTGCTTTTTGACGGATCGATTTGAAATTTTTATAACGTAGACCGTCGGTATGGGCAAATAATTCTGCATAGTCAAAAAATGTTCATCACTTCCGGTTTCGATATTAGTACTTCCGGTGGCATCACTTCCGGTGAAATTGAGTTATGTCAGAAATGACATATGCATAAGCTTAGTGTCACTAATACAAAGTGTTACAACTAAAAAAATTCGTACCGGAAGTAACATATAGGTCGCCATATTGGTTTGCCTCAATATGCAAAACTTGCTATTTTGGAGCTATTTAT